CCGTTGTGCCACGCATGAGATGGAACCCGCTGTTTCAGCCAGTACTGAAGGCGACGCATACGAAACAGGCCCAACTGTAGCACTGGAGTTGTTGCGGCCATAAGGCCCAGCATATTTTGAAAGCTTGAGGGGGCGAGAGGCACCGGCCTTGAAGGAAGCCGCGAGCTGCTGTATGACCAGAGCATGCTCTGTCGCGACCACCGCTCTCATTTGGGTTGAGTCGAACACTGTTCCCAGGAACAATACTCGTTGGCTGGGGGACAGTGCACTCTTGGCAAAATTGACCCTGAGCCCCAGGCATTCTAAGTGGCCAAGGAGGAAGGCTCTGTGAGATAGTGACTCCGCCTCCAACTGGGCCAGAATGAGCCAGTCATCGAGGTAATTGAGAATGCAGATTCCCTTCTGCCTCAGAGGGGAAAAAAGCTGCATCCATGCACTTCGTGAAAGTCCAAACGAAAGGACCATGTATTGATAAGCCACTCCCTCAAAGGCGAATCTCAAGAATCGCCTGTGGTGGGGGGCTATCTGGATGTGAAAGTAGGCGTCTTTCAAGTCCAGAGAAATTAACCAATCCTCTGGCCGGATTTGTGAGAGGATCTGCTTCAGTGTAATCATCCTAAACGGCCGTTTCATGAGGGCGCGATTCAGGCGTCTGAAATCGAGGATGGGCCGCAGGCCACCATCCTTCTTGGAGACGAGGAAGGAACGGCTGTAGGAGCCTAACTCGCTCTGAGCTGGAGGCACCATCTCTATGGCTCCCTAGTGTTTTATATACATAAGATACAGTAAGAACATGAAAAAAGAAACAAAGTAAAACAAACTGACAAATACAATAAAACAAAGATACAAATGAAATAAACCATGCTTTAATTTGTGACATATTTTTGTGCGTATTTGATCATTTGGACACACACATTTAAAATCCAAAGTGTAATTTGCTTATCCATTTTGGAGCACGCACACACAATTTAGCCTAGGGAACAGCGTCTCTTGCACGGATTATTGTGCTTTCAGCGTTTTATCATACATGTCCCGCAATTTAGCAACAGTAAAGACTGCATTTTACAACAATCACCGATTGTGCTGATTCTGACGTTAAGTTTGGGTTTTAGGGAGGAACGAATGTGCACCGATGTGAAGGGAAAGAAGTTGCGCTAGACGAAACGTGGCTAGTTTTTAATAATTTGACCTCATATCTTCTTTTTTATGATCCTTGGACGCCAACATCGAAATCAACAATAAAATTGGCTTAATATCACAGCCACAGGCCTAAAGTGTAAGCAGACGTTTGAATGTTTAGTTCTCTCCTCTATCATCACAATTAACCTGTTGAGCGGTACGGTCCCACATATGGGATTTTTATTTCCGTGCCCCTGGGAGTATGGTCCCACATATGGAATTTTTATTTCCGTGCCCCTGGGAGTACGGTTCCACATATGGGATTTTTATTTCCGTGCCCCTGGGAGTATGGTCCCACATATGGAATTTTTATTTCCGTGCCCCTGGGAGTACGGTTCCACATATGGGATTTTTATTTCCGTGCCCCTGGGAGTATGGTCCAAGCGCGAGACACGAGTCTTAAAAAGTGAAGCCATTGCGTTTCGATCGCCCCCAGGTGGCTGGTCCCAGTATAGGTCATAAACCCCGCCCTCTCCATGCAATCTAATGGGACATGGGACAAACTAAATAATTAAATTTCACTTCAAATAATTTTTTTCCAAACAGGGCTTTTGTCATTTGATGTAGATTTTATCACGCTGATGTAAGTTCAAGTGTTCATTTTTAAAATAATTTTGGTTTTATTTAGTTAAGTGATGCTATAAAAACGGGAGTGTGACGTCATGATTGACAGCTGAGACTGACAGCTTCTCTGAGTTAACTGAGGTGCCAACGGACTTTTTCGGGATCTTTAGAAGGATATTGGAGTTGTATTTACCTTATTTTAACACAATCCTCTCAGCAGACAAAAACTGGAGCAGTCAGGCTAATTAAAACAGGGACAGGGGCGTATGCTTGCAATCGACTCTGCGGGAGTGTGGGCGGGACGCGGCTCTACTTCGCTCGCTACTGCGCAGACTCTGGTCCCGAGTTCTCTACTGCGCAGACTCCAGTTCCAAATCAGCGCAATATGGCCGCGCCCTGTTGGGACAATGGCGGCTTCACTTTTCTTCAGTGGAAGAGATTGAAGGTGTGTCGTCCATCTTTTTTTACAGTCTGTGGTATGGTCCCACATATGGGATTTTTATTTCCGTGCCCCTGGGAGTAACTGTAACATAACTGCCAAATTCAAACTGCGTTTTCGCGCTTTGGCTGACGCTGAGACGCCGCTGCACTTGTCATATAATCACAACTATGCAGTGTTTTTAACCACATAATGTTTATTTTAGGTTTCAGACATTTAAATACACATAAGTACTAGTAAAACAATACATTTAGAGTTTGTAAAATACACATGGATGTTTATGAAAGTAGCAATAACAATCCATTTAAATATAATTTGCTGACGTTTTATTAATATCAGATACACATAGTGTAAGTAACAATAAAGTTCACTCTATTCTTCTCCCAGTTCACCGGCCACTTACTTACATGTATTTCGGGAGAAACTGATACATTTACGTGCTGTAAATCTGACTGACAGGACTCTCTGAACTGCAGCACGAACAAACATGGC